CAAGGGGCCTCCCATGAAATGGCAAGACCGGCGGCATTACACAGCACGAAGTTCACTAATTCACCCATGAACTATGGAACAACAGACAAGGAAGCCCTTGCTGTGATTGATGCTCTCACCGCTTTCAACCACATCCTGATGGGCAATACCTTCACTATTGTTACCGACCACCAACCCCTCACTAATCTTAAAACAGAAGGAATACCTGGAAGGAGAAGAAGAAGATGGATAGGTGAAATCAGCAAATACGATGCAAAAATCATCTATACCCCTGGAAGAATGAACTATTTAGCTGATGCTCTCTCCCGCCTATATGAGAATCAAGATCTCGCAGATCCTCCTTTTGTTCATGACCACACAAGACAAAGCGAGGACAGCCCTGACGACACCTCCTATGAACAAGAACCATTGATGGCTACTACCAGCTCTGCCACTCCCTCCAATCCTTTCTCTTACACCATGTACAGCGCTGCCGGAACGGAACGAAGAAAGAACATTGATGAAGAATGTCAAGCCAATTGCACGCTCCGCAGCACCCCTCCTCACGTGCTTGAACAAAGCAGACTCCACTGGTCCCACTGTTATCACGACACCTGCCCTTTTCACCAGACTAAGATTAAGCTCGGCAACAGATACCAGCGACCGTACTATATGCCTGCTGATGATTCCAAAAACACCAGCTTCAACACCGCAGAAGGGGCAGAAGAGATGATTGATGAAGATAAATCGACCCAACCTCCTCATACCCTTAATCCTGTTCCAACACGATACCAAGGTCTTGAAGAACTCGAACAAGCAGCAGCCTATGTGGATGCAATATCCTATTTACGCCCCCCACAGTCAGCTCTGCCATCCTCTCCTCCCATAATCGATTCACCACCACTATATGGTGGACCCTTATGAGTATACAACAATGAAACTATTGTCTCGGTCAGACCCTCTACTATTCTCGAGCGTCGCCGGCAACTCTATGAAACCTTTGAGGAGGAGGATGCCCCTATCAAACCAAAAAGAGGATCCCTGATTGAGGATCAACGGGATGTTAGATCAACCACAGAACAATTAACCTCCTCTTTTCGAAGCCAAATGATAGCAGGATATCGCCATGACCCAATCTACTTCAAAGTCATGGATCGCTCCAGGCATGGAGATCTTGCACTCTACAACATATCTAACTGAATGGTCTATACCAGCACCCCTTATGGTGAACATTGCCTATACATCCCGAAAGGCCATATGTTCAATGGAATGACTATTAGGGAATATGTCATCACCGAAATACACAACAAAGGATACCATAGTGCGGACCGCAACCTCCAATATGCCTCAGAATATGTTTACTGGCCGGAAATGCGAAAGGACTTCCGCGATTTTTTCAAGCAATGTGAACTATGCCAGGTAAATAAGGAGCGAACACAACTACCTGAAGGGAAAGCGCAGACCCTCCAACTACCATGTGAAATATTCGATTCCTACACCATCGATTTCACAGGGCCTTTCAACAAGTCGGCAGGATATGATACTATCTTGGTAGCTGTGGATCGATTCTCTGAATACACATGGCTCATACTAATGAAGGTTACCGATTCCTCCAAAGACACCTGGAATAACCTCCAATGATACCTGTTTACCCCCCATGGGTACCCCTTATCTATTGTCAGTGATGCTGATCCCTGCTTTACCACCAGATTCTGGAAGCAAACCTTGACCTCCCTCGGAATAAACCACATTATGGCTGCCCCTGGACACCATGAGACTAATGGCCAAGCAGAACAAAAAATCCGCGAAGTTAAGACCGGAATTAGGAACATGATCAATGAACGACAAACCAACTGGGAACCAGCCCTTGTTGAACTGGCTGCATATATCAATGCCGGATTTTCAGATACCTTGGAAATGTCACCATACTAGGCAGTCTTTGGCCGTCAATACCCCCTCCTACCTACAACACTATTTATGAACTCCTCAGTCCCTGCCTCTGATGACCATCTAAACCGCCATCAAGCAATTCGGAACGATGCCTTCCAAGCTGTTAAAGCTGCCCGATTCCGAAGCACCACTACTGCTCAGAAACGACGACGCAAACATGTCCCCATCCCACCAGGTGATATGCTCATGGTACATGGTAACATGTTTATTACCAATGTTGTACGCAGCAAGAAATTGCAACCCCGGTGGCGAGGACCCTTCAAAGTCTTATCTTTTGATGAGCATACAGAAAACTACACAGTCCAGATGGATGGACACATGTACCACCGCAATACCGCAGTCTTCCATGCCTCTGCTGTCAAGCGATTCCACCCAAATGACGACGCCAAGTTCCCTGGAAGAACCCACTCACGACCTGCACCTATCATCATCGACAAGAAAGATGAATGGGAAGTTGAAGAAATAAGAGATCACCGCCTTTGGCATGGAAATGATCAGTTCCTAGTCAAATGGAAAGGGTATCCAACGAGTGAAAACAGCTGGGAACCGCTAGAAGGACGAGAACACGCTATGGATATGGTAAATGATTGGTGGAAGGACAACATGCCAAACGAATCCCTCCCCCTAACGATCAATTACATCACCATGTGCTGGACACCCACGATGCCAGAAACTGAGTGATGGCATGCAGAACTCGAAGCTAGAGATGGATTTTGGGCACCATTCTTTGAATCGGAATTCGAAAGTAGCGATGATGAAAATCATGCTATGGAACAGGTTCTCGACAACCTTATCTGATCCCGAGCACCATCCGAATACCATAACGATGTCAAACTATGTGGAACTCAATGTGAGGCTGCGACAACAGATTGTTGGACTGTTGTTGAACTGCGATGTTATCTAACTTGAAGACTACTTCGAAGTCCTCTGGATAGACTACTGTCCTGATTGCGATCACGCTTGGGTTGATGTACCGCGCGAATCTGGTATTCGTGACTACTGTGATTTACCTTTCTTTGAGTCTAAATGTTTTCTTAGAATTTCTTCTTGCCCCTGGTGCAACACCTATGATGAAGAGTTTTTAGCGGAAACTGAAGCCTTTAGTTTCTCAGACTCCGCTTTTGATGATTTTTAGGACTTGTTTATTTAAACAGTTGTTTTGTTTTGGGGAATGTAACCGGTACGAGTACTCGGTTATTGGTTTGTTTTAAGTATCATTTGATACTTGGCTTTGTTTTATGTTTTGTTTTAAGTATCGCTTTGATACTTGGTTTGTTTTAAGTATCGTTTGATACTTGGCTTTGTTTTATGTTTTGTTTTAAGTATCGCTTTGATACTTGGTTTGTTTTAAGTATCGTTTGATACTTGGCTTTGTTTTATGTTTTGTTTTAAGTATCGCTTTGATACTTGGTTTGTTTTAAATATCGTTTGATACTTGGCTTTGTTTTATGTTTTGTTTTAAGTATCGCTTTGATACTTGGTTTGTTTTAAGTATCGTTTGATACTTGGCTTTGTTTTATGTTTTGTTTTAAGTATCGCTTTGATACTTGGTTTGTTTTAAGTATCGTTTGATACTTGGCTTTGTTTTATGTTTTGTTTTAAGTATCGCTTTGATACTTGGTTTGTTTTAAGTATCGTTTGATACTTGGCTTTGTTTTATGTTTTGTTTTAAGTATCGCTTTGATACTTGGTTTGTTTTAAGTATCGTTTGATACTTAGCTTTGTTTTATGTTTTGTTTTAAGTATCACTTTGATACTTGGTTTGTTTTAAGTATCGTTTGATACCTGGTTTTGTTTTATATTTTGTTTTAAGTATCTCTTTGATACTTAAGGAGTTTTACCAAAGTGTATCGATTGATACCTTTGATTAGTTTCATTCATGCTGGACATGAACAGATTTGTGTATTTAAAGACCGCCTGTTTCTACGATAGAAAAGGCAGACTTCGACAGACAGTATTTCAATATCCTTGGTTGAACAGTTACTTCTTTGTTCCCCAGTACACCCTCAAAGCCTCCTTTAGTTCTCAGCTCTCGCCTCCTCTCTGGAAGAGCAGGCCACCTGCCTACTATCGTATCTATTACCGATAACGTGATTAGTACCCTGCAAGCACGTTATATTTGCAGCAAAACAATGCATATGGTTGAGACAATAGATGTTACATGTGGGAATCAACACTACACTGACTATCCATTGCGACAATACAGCCACTATAAAGTTAACTGAAAATGCAGGCATATACAATCAAACAAAACATATCAATGTACAACATCACTATATAAGGGATTTAAGGGAAAATGGAGAAATTGAGGTAAAAAGAGTGGATATGGAGAACAACTTGGCAGATATCTGTACGAAAGAATTGGTTAGAGTATTATTTGAAAGTTTTCTGGTTAGGTTAGAAATGGACCTGTAGGGGAAGTGTTGGAATTTAGGTTATTTCTTTCCTATCTGATGATGGGGCTGTGTTGGCCATGTAACACAGCCACATGACTGAGTATATATGCTATTGTATTCTAGCATCTTCTAGAGATTTCCTTGGTATGGGGCAGTGCTCATATAACGATAAAGGGGTATAAAAAGGGCAGGTTCAGCCCTGTTCTTAGAAAGAGTGCACAAGCTTGTATTAATCTTTAAGTCTTCAGATTTTATTATGGTTATCATTGTTACTTTGTTACTTCGTTATCACAACAGTTAGTACAATAGATACAAATATTTTCACTATGTTACTCGGTTGACTAGTCGAGGGGAGGTAGTTGCTGATGACTGAATGCAGTAAACAACAATGATTTTTGTGTGATTAGCGTTGATTCTGTTTCCAGCCCGAGCTAGCTTTGGGACCGCACTAATCGCTCCCATCCTCTGCACACGAATGTATTCCCAACCCTACGAACGGGACGTACGAAAGCTTTGTGCTGGGTCGGTAAATACCGGCGGTCTCGGTATGAGCCTACCTGGTTCTGACCTCTGTCAGTGAAACATCTAGAATGTACCGGCACAGGTTCCGGAACTTGATCAATGCATTATTGCAGCTGTGTTCACGACTAAGTGTAGGAGACCCTTTGCACGTGATTTTGAGAGACCGAAAGAGAGCCAGGCTTGCATTCTGCACACGAAAGAGGGCTGGCTTTATTAACATGGAACCGGTACCCATCTTAATGGATAGGGTAACAGTTAATAGGCCGGATTATGAAAAGTAGGAAAATCCAAGCAAGAAAGAATTTATGATTTGACAATGGTCTTCTCCAAATTTTTCGCCACTTTTACTTGCTCTCCCGGCCCCCGCGTTTTATTGTAAACCGCCCAGCCAACAATTCCAACGACACTTCCGATTCCCGCACTCCCGGTAATACCCCTCCAGCCTAGGCCCTTCTTCACACCCCCCAACACCCCACCTACAAGTGCTCCCGAGGCACTCCATTCATCGATCCTGTTCTGAGGCTTATTCTCGAGCAGCCTCCATGATCTGTCTTGCCACTCGATCTCCTGCTTCCCGTACATCCTCGCCGAAAGCATTACCGCGGTAATGCCAGTGGTTACAACAACTCCAACACCCGAAGCCCGGACAATAGAGGCTACTAGTGGTAAACTGCGGGCGTGGGTGGAGAGCCCGTATCGAGCCCCGCCATAGAGAGCTCCGAAAACCGCCCCGAGGTTGGCCCCACGATGTAAGACATGTGTGGTGAGGATAGTGCGCGAGTAGGGCTGGTCTTCGGCATAGTCATGGCGAAGGAAGAATCGATCCATCTTTAGAGGTTTAGGCGAATCGTTATCGGTGGCCGATATTCGTGCGATGGGTTTGTTCTCAATCACGATAATTAACCCGGCCGACCCCAAGGTTGGTTTCTTAAACCATGATTCGTTGCGGCTGGAGTCGGGATGATTATTCCCCGCAAGCGGCGCGATGGACGAACTTTATTTGAGGAACCCTAACCCTGCCATATCGGAATGGTGCAACCGCCCTTCTTTTAGACCGTGCTCGGCGAATATGTGCGGTCATGGTGCCGAAAGTCGTGAGTAGTTTGTCACTCTACACCAAAAATGAGCAACTTTAATGACTTGCAGCACTATAAAGTTAATCAATGTGGTATTATCAGCTTCATAGCTGCCTAGGTTTTCGAGTAAAATCAGGTGATTGTTGCCCTCACGTGAGCATTAATAACCGAAGGTTTTTGTTCCATAGGATATTGCAAAGTACCTTTCCTACCGAAAACTGATATAAGTTCCATGTATCATATCAATTGCTCGACCCCAAATGCCCCTGATACCTTGCTTTCAAAGTTTATTGATAGGGCGCAATTTTTTTTATCGGAACAAATTCCATATGGCTCCACTTGAGTATTTTTATCAAAGCGATCAAGAAAGATATTTCGCGATGTATCATAAATTGCGGATTTCTGATGCAAAATACCCAACTACTCATGACTTTTGGTGCCCAGATTGCGCTCGGATGCGCCAGTAAAAGTCAGAAAACTATTTCTGTTAATCCCATATAATTCTGTGTAGAGATTAGGGTCACGTTTTCCGATTTTTATGGACTCAAGTACCGGCATAGTACTATTCAAGCGCTCCACGGCAGGGCGCCGGTATTCCCGGGCGACAAGAAAGCTTGTACCTTCAGCGCGTGACAGCTACCTAATCAATCAATATACTGACAGGACTTTGGCCATCACTTCCTCTACCGGTTTTCTCAGCCGGGAACCAACCCTACAAAGTGATTGGCGCTGGTATTACTTGTGTGTAATATCAGAAACCCAACCAAATTATGCCTGATTGCCAGCAAAAGTTGTATTATGATTATAAAGCAATTGAAACACATATACTTGCAGAGATTTACCCATCAAGCCCGGAGTTAAATTCCCAAGACATCTGATGTCACTATGTAGAGGAACTGGGCGAAATCACAGATATAGCACGGTGCAATAAATGACTGCTCTCCCCTTGAGCACGAGTACTCGAAAGCTTCGCAAGTGCGAAAAGTTTCAGTATTTAGCTGGGACGAATTGGCTACTAGGGACTGAGCAATGAGGCGAGGGGGGGGGGGTGTAGTGTGTTATATAGCCATCGGCGAGACTAGTAGCTTCGGATAGGTTGTTGGGGGGGGGGTCTTCCCGGATCCGGGGGGGTTGAGGGTGGTTTTTGCCTACTGTATTTTCTCGCTAAAATCTAGATAACCGGCTTCTAAAATTCTAAATTTTGTGGAATCCGAACCCCCGCAGTTTAGATTTAAAAGGTTCGGGTTTAAAAAATCATCTGACTTGCACTTGCTAGGTCCATGTGCTCACATTTGTTTCGCTACAATCACCATAGAAGCTTAGGAAGTCGCTCTTTCTGCGGGAGTTTCATAGTCTGTGGGATCGTTTTCGCAAGTAGAGAGGGGACAAGCTATGGTATACCTTGCTCCAAAGCGAGTGATAGGAGATGATAGACGATTGCTATGTCTCTGAATGTAGGCGATCACAAGGGGTTCGCTTCGGCAAGTGCCTTGAGACTGCCCACGAGTGGATTGCGCATGTGGCATACCACCGGGCTTGGGCGAAATCACAGATACTCTGCTGACGTGGTGAGAATTGCAATATTATGTGTTGAACTAAGCTGGAGGTATTCGGCAAAACGGATACCGGTAGAAGAAGGAAGACTCGAGTTTCAATAGTCTTGAAGTCTCTGCAAAATGAGCGCCTTTCGCGAGTGAGTGTTTATGACGGTCCAGTTTTGCCACGGTATGACCCGAAGAAACGATACCAGTGATTGACACCAACGCCTGTAGCGTGACTGAAGAGGGTAGTGCAGTTCTCCAAGGACACCCCAACCGAATACCGTATCCACGATTGAACCAACCCACCCCCCGCGGCTCCATCACAAAGACACCCTAATCCAGACATGGACAAATACCTTATATCCACCCACGATCAAAAGCCATCCCCACCCTCCCCGCTATTTCCTTGAACCATTTTTCAGGTAGCAGGCACAACGAACGGAAAGGGAAAAGAGAAGAAAAAAACCCCAATTACCCACTGTGCTGGTGGCATGGTAACCCCAGTAGTGGAGAGTTGTATTATCGGAAGAGCCGATAGAGCATATATACTACGAAGGCACGGGCTTATGTACGAGTGCGCGAGGGTTCGTTGAAAGTGTGTGAGCAAGGATGTCGAATGGCAAGCGTGTGCATATGCATGCTTGCATATGGGCATGCGTGTGTTGAAGGGTGTTTGGGGATAACCTCCTAGGTATCCAAGACACGCACTTCAAATCACCCGGGTACGGATGTAGTGGGAAGGCGGGTGCGGTATGGGTGGTCCGAGGGCGCATCTCTTCGCATCACTAATTTCAGTAAGGCAGGGTGATCTCTGCTTCTCCCTTGTCCGGTCTAAAATTGCTTTACTCGTACAGGTTGCTATAGCGCACACACAAGAAATACATCCTTAGCCATCCGTACCCTGTTCGTCTAATCACCAACGTCCGTACCTGGGTAAGCCGAACACAATATATATCTGACCCGATCGACACCCTTCAAGAAACAAGACCCCCGATCTACTGTCCGATCCCACTTTCTACTACGGGGGGTGGGGGTGGGGGGCATTTTGGCTTTCATAGAAAACTAGTCTTCTACCGGTATTGAAATGCTGTTCTAAATACTTTGCACAATTTAGTGTAGCCTGATGCTTTTGGGCTTAACCCCCCCCCCCCCCATGGCTACAGAAGCGTGCCAGTGTCTTTTCGTAAAGGTGATATGCGCCCTAAAGAGTGTCTTCCAGATTTCTTACCTCTATCTGCTCAATGCATGGCCGCTTGGGGCACTCTAACTGACTCGACTGCCTTTATCTTGAACCCCGTCTTTACGAAAAGGCAGTGTAGATGACAATGAAGAACTCGCTTGGTACTGTACAGTAGAAACCCTTTTTAGGAAAAGGTTGTTCCCTGTCCTTAGTTACAAATAAGGCGAATTAAAGTGAAATTCCCCAGATCATGTAATTTGGTATTGTATGGTGCGTCTTGTTATGATACCGTAGCTGATTCCTGGTTTTAGAATTGGTTTTTTTTTTCTTTCTATCGCATTCTAAATTGCTTTGAGGTGTGTGATTGGGGAGTATGGGTCGTATCATTCTTGAGGTATGGGGGCTTTAATTGTTTGTCTCTTTCATTCTACTTTCTTTTGGGGTGTTTTGTTTTGACCCCGCCTGTGAGAAAGGAGGCGGGGTGGGGGGTTAGGAGCTATATAATTCATTTCATTCCGTGAGTGCAGTTCAGATATCCTCATCACGAGATTCATCTTTTGTAAGATTTGGACGAAAACAGATTTCACAACCCGTTTCACTCCTGGGCACTCCGATAATACCTTCTACAGGCAGGGAATCGAGGACCTCACCAATGAGTTCCCAACCGCTAGTCTCTCGCACAAGTCTCGCGCAAACCTCGAGTAGATGGCCTTCGACGAAGCCACCCATGTCGACTTTCTAGAGAAGAGACATAGACGAGGATGCAGTGCCTGCCAAGCCGTGCGCCCCCGGTTTTGGAGCCAAGACCGTGGGGTAGTTTGCTACGGTTCACTTATCGTGGTATTCCGGTAGTGTGTTGAAGGGATACGGTACCTGACTGCCGCTGGCAGTATCGTGGCAATCAAGTTTCCGTTTCCCCAGCCTTTCGATGTGTATGATACCCGTCACCTTCAACGATGTGTTCTCGCCCGCAGAGAGGTTCATCACTCCTTGCCTGTCCGATAACTCTCCCCTCTCACCGTTAAGGCCTTCCCTACCCACCCTTTCTACGGTTTCCCCATTCTGGGATTAGACTATCAAGGCGGGATCTACGCTCAGCCTAACCACTTTGAGTGCATCGCTGTTACCGGGTTGATCTTGGTGACGGCTAGACTAACGACAACACCTTTGTCGTTGCTGTTCCCGTGGGTGCCATGGCAAGGTTCCCACAGACCATACAATGATCGCTAGAGCGGTCATCATTGATATTACGAACTAAACTAGACTACAGGAGTCTCTTTTTTTCTTCTTTCCTTTTTCCTTTCCCTCCCTCCCTTCCTTCAATGTGAATATTTGCTCATTTGAACTCCCATTCCCCTATATTCTCTCACTGCTGTGCCAATTCATGCATTCCATAACAGGTTTTTTCTATAATATCTCCTGGGCTACCGAAACCTTGGAAATTTTGTACCGGCCCTGCCGATTTCGAAGACATACATGATCAAGGAGGGTTTGACACTCTACTCCTTGCGGGTGATGAGTGTACGAGTACCGTGCTGTGCAGGAGGTGTGGTCCCATACCCAATTTTAGTCATGTTCTGGAGTATACACACACCTGCGAAGTTTTGGCCACTGGAGAAAGGTTGCTTGCTAAGCTTGATCCCCAACACAGATACCGGTAGTGTTATCATAGCACAAAAAAAAACAAAAACAAGAAAACCTTATGGTTTCAACAGCCCAGGTGATACAAGTAACTGGGGGATTTGTTGGGGTTTACAACGGGGATGTACCTACTCGAGTACAGTATTTCTTTTTTTTTGCGGGGGGGCGCCTACCACCGGTAAGAATAGTGCAGCATTGAGGACTCTAATCACCAATGAATCGGATTATTCATGATTAACTTATACACAATACATAATCCGCACGCTGTGGTATGTAATGCGGTGCAATTTGAAGAGGGGTGTGTTACGTATTGTTCCGCCTAAATTGAATCCGAACTCGCGTGCGACGATTGGGGGAGATAAGATAAGTCTCAGGCTGGATCACGTGATTCTCAATTCTCTCGCCCGAGTAGCGAGTGTGTCTTGATTCATCATTTTTTTTTACTCGTGCTCGAGTAGGGTAAGCAAAAAAATGGGGATTTTGGCGGTGTGCATTACAGTAGCAGTCGTGTTGACAACCGTCCTCCATTTACGGCTGGACGAAAGTGTGCATGGGCCAATCAAGACATGCATGGATTCCTCCCCCTTTCCTTCCACTAGCCTTCGGGAAGGAGATCTTCCGGGGGCCGTGCCCAACCTTCATTGGCGCCTGAGCCTGTGATGACACGATCACTGTTTTCCAACCTACAGTACGAGTACTGTACTCGCATCAGTATCTCGGCACGCTACGGTTGGTCTTAGTGGCTGGGATAAGGTGGACTATGATGCGGCAGCTGCGGCGCTGGAACCTGGTGTCGCGTTGCAAAGGAGGCCTTCGGTGATCCAACCCGGGGGTTTGAATCGAGGGATTGAATCGGGGCTTCTGGAAGTTCTAAACAAAGGCTTGGGTGGGGGGGTTGTTTAATGTCCTGGTAAACAATCTCTGATCCTATCCGTTCCATAATATCGGCAGATTTGAGCCCTCTTCCCTGGGGAACACTGGAAGGAAATACCATATGCGATCAAAGAAGGGGATTAACGCTAAATTACCCTTCGCCGCGTTTGGTATATCGGCAGAATGATGGGGAAATGTCTGCTTCATTGGGTATACTAATTTATTTGCTCCTTCTAACCTACCACCTCTTTCAATTCTATGTGTGTCTTGACTTCTTATCAGCTCACTGGCACTACCTCCAGGTATCATTGGTTTCGGTTTTTTTTTAGAAAGGTGTCTTGTTGTGTGATCGGTAGGCTCATATGGTGAATCGTTGCTGCGGTCGATGGGATAACCCCCCCGGTTCGAGAGGTATGTTCCGGTTCCGTCGGTCATCTTTTTGTCCGGCCCCCCCCCCTCCGCTGCGGTACAGCTTGAACGGCACTGGGGGCAGTGTGGGTTACTGGGGGTGCCCGGGTCGGGGGTGTACCGTGTCGCATAACACGAGTAGTAATTTTTCCAAGCTCGCCTGCTACAATTGATGGACGGGGATGAATTGCGAAAGGGAATACCGGTATCTGGATTTGCTAGGTGTTTTGGTATTGGTATGGCTTGTTTATCCACGTTGGGGGAACTGCCCGGTGCTTGATGTGAATGTGTACGAGTACGGAACCGGTACTGGTACTGATAATAGCTTATTGTGTTCGACTCTCACGCGTTCATGCCGGATCGGGGGCGATTAAGGTGTGATGTGATACTGGTAGCGGTGTGACAGGGGTGAAGGTATTGTACAAGTATGATACATACGGTATGCTCTCCAAGGAAGCGCCAGGTGTTGTCTTCTGCCCTCGTTTTGTCAGCAGCTGATAATCGAGTAGAGTTAACCCCGAGATCGCCACGTGACCTGCCAGCTATCCGGCCGAGAGGTAATGGTTTTGCTTCTTTTGTCTTATCCTTTTTTCCCAGGAAGGGTTAGTCTATCCTTTGCCGTTACTTGTAGCACCAGATAACGGTCCGGCACTACCCATTCTAGTGCTGTACGAGTACATGGGTACTTGTACCGCAGAAACTCAAACGATGGATCGCTATCTGATCGAGAGCGAAAAATACAACAAAGCGGACATGCCATCATACTCGGCCCCTCTGAGACAGGGGGGGGGGCAGAAATTGAGAAAAAGTAAAGTACGGTATCAGACTTCGCCTTAACTTTACCGGAGGAGGCAACCCTAATGACATGGCACACTGTTCTATTATTCAGCTTCTTGCGGTAATGCTTGGTTAATCAGAGGGCAGCGGGCGGTAGGAGAGGGATCGTTTTAAGGTTTTCTGTGGTTCCCCAATTTTATATATATTGCTGGGGGGTTCCCCCCTCTCTTTCCGTCATGCTTTCCTTTCGCTTCTAAGGTGTGTTGATCATTGGCTTCTATCTATCATATCATACTTAGATAATTCTTCCTTTGCCCTCCCTCTTACCTTTTTACTCTACTTCACTTTCAACTCTACTCGTCGCAGACATGACATCCAACATCGTGATCATCGGCGCTTCGTATTCTGGCCTCCCGGCAGCACACTACCTCCTCAAGCACGCTCCGGAATCCTGGACCATCACTCTGATCAACCCATCGACAAACTTCTACTTCAACCTCGCTTCCCCCCGCGCCTTGGTCGAACAATCCATCCTCGGAAAGAAGAATGGAGACCTGTTTATTCCCTTCCTGCCCAAGCTCGAAAAGCACGGCTCACGGTTTGCCTTTCTCCACGGGAAAGCATCGGCGGTGAATGTTGGTAGCAGGACCGTCACTGTCGTCTTACACGGGGGGAGGGGAGAGACGAGCGTTACGTATGACCATCTCATCGTTGCCAGTGGAGCGAATACATCCGGCGGCGCTGGGAAGGAATGGGGCTTCAAGCATGGCCTTGACGGTAACACCGAGGAGATTGTAGCCAATACCCGCGCTGCCGTTAGGGCCGCGAAGAAGATTGTCGTATCGGGAGCCGGAGCGACAGGTGTGGAGTTTGCCGGGGAGATCAAGGACTTTTATGGGGCGAAGAAGGAAGTTGTCATGATATCCTCTAGCGAGGAACTCCTGCCACAGGTACCGCGGGCGGACGTCGGTGCATCGGCGCGGAAGATCCTAACGAAGATTGGCGTGAAGGTCAAGACGGGCGTTAAAGTGATCGAAGAGCGCCCGGTAGAGAAGGGGATCGAGGGCGCCGTCGAGCTGGTCCTCAGCAATGGTGAGGTCATCTCTGCAGATCTGCACGTTGCCACCTGGGGAATCTACCCGAACACGTCCTTCCTAGCGAACGATCTGCTCGATGGCGCGGGGTGGGTCAAGACGGACGAGTACATGCGTGTCAGCGGGACCCGGAATGTTTGGGCTATCGGCGACGTAACACATTGGGGGAATAGGAAGGTGACGACGGTGGACGGGCAATGGGCTGTTGCTACGCAGAACATCGTCTCTTCGATTAATGGGGGTGGGGTGGAAGTGTTCAAGAAGTATGTTCACAGCGATGCGCTTCTGATGGTCGTCCCCATGGGAAGGAGGTTTGCCAACGCGGTTGCCTTCATCAATGGGTGGAAGGTGTGGGGGTTTGTTGGGTGGTTGTTTAAGGGGAGGACTTATATGATTGAGAATGCGCGACCGGTTGCTGAGGGCATTACTACAGCTGGGAGAGCGAAAATCTAAGTTGACTGCTTTGTGCCCTTTTCACTTTTTTTTTCCTGGTGTCTCACGATGGTGGCTTTAATTCCTTTATGAAGGCAGTTTCTTCTTCTTGTCTTTTTCCCCTTTCTTTCCTCTCTCTCTCTCTCTCTTAACGACGGATGGGCGGATACTGTGGTTGGATGGGTTCCTACCCTTCTTTTCCTTTTTTTCTTTTCTTTTCTCGTTAGACTCCTTAATGTTATTAGATTGGCAGTTTATTGCGGTAATACTAGCATCTTAACCGTACTTGTACTAGTACTCCTAACTTGAGCGGTGAGAAATAGACTTGATTGCTTTTTGGAAATTCCCAGTCATATGTAAGCCGAGATCAACTTAATTGTAGCAGGGGTTAAGGGTAAGTCTGGCGAAGTCATTCAGATTGGCTCGTTGGCCAATCAGCCAATCATGGGACTAACAGTTCGCCAGACTTTGTTCCACCTCGAAAATCAAGCCAAGATTGGCTCTCCTAATCGTCATGCACACCTAATTTTTGTGTGAGAAACAAAGTTTGCCTGGTTATGCTCACACCCTAGTAATCTAGTAGAAACTAAGCTTTACTCTCGTCTACACGCCAAGAATTGGCACCCTTTTCGCAATAGTTGCTACCGTCCGGCGCTGACTGGCTCTTTGAAAAGGCAAAAGGGTGCCAATTCTTGGCTTGGTGACACGAAGCACTGTAGCTCGGAGCCATCATATCATACGGTACTGTTACTTGTACTAGTACAGTACAGTTCAGTACTTGCGGTGTCGTAAGTTTTCTCAGCGGCTGGTGTGCGAGAGAAGGTGAGTTGCGACCTGTAAACTTAGCTTGGCCTGGCTAGGACCTGTTTGGCTCTGTGATTTCGGATAGTCATGATCTGAAATCATGATTTGAGACAGTCAAGCGTTTGGCTTGGTAATATTTGCAGATGATGATTTCAAATCATGATTGTCAAATAACAGCGAGCGAAACAGGCCCTTGATTGTTCACCTGCGTGGTGATAGGGTGTTGGTCGTAACGTTACCCGTAATCAGAATTGCCTTTTCCCCGCTCGTGTACGGTACTTTGCCGGTATAATTCTGGAGCATGATACAGCATAGATAAACCCCGCACTCCTCCTCCTCATCGCACTGTTCAACTCCCTATCTCCACCTCCGCAAAACCGCCATTCCACCACCAACGACAACCAAACAAAAACAACAGAACCACGACATGGCCTCAAAAGCCTGCTGCGAAATCCCCCCTGTCGTAACGCACGACTACACCCCAAATGGCACCTTTGAAACAACGGCAAACTTCAAATCCTATGTTACAGGGCCCAAGTCCAGTAAGACGGGGATCCTAGTGATATTTGACATATTCGGCTACTTCCCGCAGACGCTTCAGGGCGCGGACATCCTCGCTTCGGCTGGGCATCTGGTCGTCATGCCGGACTTTTTCAAGGGACAGGCGGCAGATCCGGACTGCTACCCGCCTAGCACGCCGGAAAAATTGAAGGCGCTCATGGGCTTTATTCATGGCCCTGCAAAATTGGAGGATGGCGAGGCGAACGTTAGGGCTGTGGCGGAGGGGTTGAAGGGGGAGTTTGCGGGGGTGGAGAGGTGGGGGGTCGTGGGGTATTGCTGGGGTGGGAAGGTGAGTTCCTGGTTCCTACTACCACTGCAGGAGGGAAGGTGCTGATATGGAGGAAATAGGTAGCGGCAAGAGTCTCTGGTCCTGGAACTCCATTTACTGCCTCTGCTCAACTCCACCCTTCGTTCATGAGCGTGGAGGATCTTAGGAAAGTTACTATCCCACAGCTGGTTCTCCCGTCAAAGGATGAGCCCGCGGACATGGTTGAAGCGTATAAGAAGGAATTGGCCGTGCATCCGGACGGAGCGGTAAAGACGAAAAGTTACATTGAAGTCTACGACAAGGCAATCCACGGGTGGATGGCGGCGAGGGCTAATCTGGCCGACGAGGATGCCCGAAATGAGTACGAGAGGGGGTATAAGCAAGTTGTCACGTTTTTGGGGGATAATTTGTAATTTTAGGGTTGTTTCCTGCGGCGTATAGTGTGTTCTTGGGGTGTTTAGTGATGCCGGGGTTAAGGAGACTCTAGGGCTCTAGAAGCCAATCCGTATTGCCAGAGAGTAGAGACAATAGTATGATACGAATAAGTTGGCCTTTTCCCCCCTACTAACCTGATTCCTATGAGTTGCGTATAACCCTGTATGGCACGTTGTTCGAGAAATATGCACAAAACGAGATCATGTGCATCACCTATATTAAGCCAGGCCAACAGGGGAGCGATGCCTTAAATTGTCACATCCCTCTCCACTCGATCCTCTTACCAATACCGCTCATACCGCACTACCCGCCCTACGGAACAAAGTAATCACAACTACACCGCCACTACCATACAAACCACACTTTGATAAGGTGAAAATGTATGTATGTCTGTGAAGTCGCGTAGTGTATAGACGTCACGGAAGCGAAGCTATTTGGCGCACTGAACCACCCATATATATATATACCCTTCAGATGAACCGACTCCTAAACCGATACTTAACCCTAACCCTGTCTTAAATGGTGCCCTACCAAGTATGATGGCATCTGCGGAAAGAATGGCAGTCAAAGTAGACAACGGAGGTACCATACCAGTACAGTGCGGTTCTCTACTCTACTCTACTCTATTCGGAACAACTTCTTTCTCCCGCTCTCGGAATGACGTTCTCCAGATTATTATTATTAATTTTTTTTTAAAAAAAGGACTTGGTATTGAAAGAATATCATTCGGTCGGATCGGTAAAAGGTAATCGTAGTTGGTTTGAAGAGGATTCGGATAGAGCAGTGGACAGATGAAAACAAAAGGGCGTAAAATCAAACAAGGATCCATGATAGGTTGGAACAGCACAGTCCTTCGGCTTATTCCTGTGTCTAAAATCGTAGAGTTGTTTAAATTCACTCCAACTTCACTCGTATATTTGTTTCGATAGTGTTCGGATTTCTTAGTTCAGACTTGTTTTATTTTCGTGGGTTCGCACGTGGTTGAAACTCTGAGGAAAAGAAAGAGGGGAGAAATCCCCTAAGTACAACAAGCAAATTTTCTCTCTCTCAACTCCCAAACGATCCCTTCCATCATAACAAAACCCTAGAAACCTTCACCTTGATACAACAAAAGTTATTCAAATCGGAAAAGACCTGAATTAGAAATTTCCCCCAACAGTATCATGGATAAACTACTCTACCGGGTTCCATACTACCGCAGCCCTTCAAGAGGAAGAGGGGGAAGAAAGAGTCACGGGTTGGCTGGAGTAGAAGTACTTTTCGAATGATATTGTTTGCCGCACAGTTCAGCGGTTTGGGCGATCGCAAGCTGACTGAAGGAGTGCATGTATTGCTATTTTAGAGGTTGAAATAGCCTTGTCCGAGATGAAAACTTGGGCAAGATCTCGTTATGTTAGGGCGAAAAAAAAAAGAAGAAAAAAGCTTGTTAAGGCTAGGTTGCTCATGGGAAGGTTTTTGTTCTATTATGGGTTTCAAGTAGTGGGTTAGGGTTGCGTGTAGTATTCGATTCTGGTATGATAGTAGGGCGGCGATATATCATATCATACAATGCTCTAAGAGTGCGGCCGATAGATATATACATTTGTCACGTGGGTTTGATGAGAAAAGTACCGGTATTGGTGGGAGAGCCTCGCCAAAGCTCGCTTATAAGACCCACGTGATGAACATATCTATCGGCCGCACTCGGGATATCATACTCTGGGGGTATGGTATAGTCTCTATGTTTTCCTCAACTAGGGGATAACTACAAAATATGGGGCACTAAATACTATTGATCATTATTGAGCAGGGTTTGCGATGGATGGATAGAAAATACTAAGACTGCATGGTAACGTTGGAGGTTGGAGATTGCCTGCCTGGAATTACTTTGATTTACGATAGGACCGGGAATCACGAGGGCGGATTAGAGTGCATGGACGTTGGTTAAGGGTTTAACCTACATCGCTTTACTACCTGGCTTGAAGTCCACCATGAAGGCCATAATCCCCCTCAAGTCATTCTAGGAGAGATATCTGGAATAGCAATGTAAGCAAAGCAATGGAAAATAGAAAAGATTCGAAATGGCTGTGTGTTCCCGATGAGCAGCCTAAGGACATCACGCACCCTGTCAACTAACAACGCTTGGGATCACTGCCCGTTCGTCTAGATGCTAAATTCCTGAGAGAAGACACATAACAACCGGGTAACTGAGTGCAGAGAATTGAATACTTAAACAAGCCTTTCTCCTCTTTACCTTCCCAATCTCCGAACCGCAAACAACGATCATCCTCTCTTCGCCATCCTCTCTTCATCATCCTCTCTTTATCATACACCGGGTACACAATGCTTCGTGCAATCTGTTTGTTCCATAAACCCCACTGCCTATCATAGAAACCACCCTTCTTACTAACTGCCTGTCATAATATTTTCAGTCTCTAGTCCCAAGCATAGGGAAGTGACGATGTTCGCTGTGATAAATGGAATTAGTTGTTGGTTCGCAATGCGCCTCACGAGACAAATGTATCTGGACGAAGGATACAGTAAGCGAGATCGAGAACTTCGTGAGATGCCAGCTATACAGAACGGTGTCGGCGCCAAGTACCTCACAATTGCTAGTTCCGCGAAGTGATCGTTTCACAGGCCAATGCGCATAGTCACTATGTAAGTATATCTATGACCCGCATGCGATCAAAATTTCTGACCAACTGTTGGTGTTCGAATTAGGGCGGTTCTGGTGGTTGTGGGCCTTGTGTTTTTTCATTATTTTTATCTTTGTTACAAGATGGGTAGCATCTGGTAGGGGGGCCACGTGAAAGTTTACAATTGGGAGGCTTTGCTACGCCTAGCGCAGCCCAAGATCACTTCTCTAATATGACTTTTGTGATTTGATTGTGGTGACAATTTTGCTTATGAACCGTTGTGACGGCTTATACCAGTTTAAATAGGAAGCTTTTTAGCACAAATCCTAGCAATAAAGCCCGAACCCGGACCTACAATATTAGGAGTCAACAAAATTCAGGGCCCCTTCTGAATGGAGGTGTAGTATTATACAATGTCATGTAGATTAAACCAGGTTATGAAATTCGAGTGATAGTGGGTGAATATTTTTTGCTGTCAGGCAAAGAGTCCAAGCCGCCCCCAAAATGGATAGTGCTATGGGTGAAATTCTATGAGAATGGTCTGTGAAGAAAGAAAGTCTATAATTATTATACAAACCACCGACATCAAAATTTACTTGCTCCAGTTGACCAATATTTGAGGATACTGAAAAGCAACGATTGCCGACTTTCACAATACGTGACCCCGGAACATATGATATGACACTGCAACACGACTCCAGAACACACGACTCCCGAGCGAACGACTCTAGAATGTACGACACCAGAACGTAATGGCTTAGCTGGTAGGAGATACTTGATACCCGGAGGTGGGCCTAGAGGCTGTCGTTGATGGAGGAACCGGACCACTTGAGCTAGGCCAGCCTAGTGGTTAACATCAACGGGGACCGACCAAACGGTTCCTATCCTCAAGTCCAGACCAGTCGGACTATTCGGAACCCCTACCCACTTAAATACAGCGAATACCCGGAGGAATAGGCCTGCTGGGTTCGCTTATATCCCTCCGGAATGAAATGCTAATGGGGGAAGGATACGTTTGGCTCGCTTCAAGGTGTCTGTACCAATTTTCCCTCAACATTCAGCTCAACCACACGTGCAATATTCTATATTGCTATAAGTTCAATGTAATCACGGGCATTCACTATTTATTCATCTAATTCACAATGTGACTGCTCTAAACCCCATCCCACCCATTTATCCATATAGCTCTTGCACAAGAGTAACTTGACAGAACCTTCACATTTACTCCCCTACAGTACAAGGTTTAACTAACCAAGCAATAATAGAAGAGGCGAGGTGAATAAGTGGAAAGAAGAGATATTTTATTACACGCCAAGTTAGAAAAGTATGATTAGAAGAATAACAATCTAACCCCCTCTCTAAAACTGCAGCGCGCCCCTCTGGGTCCCCAACCACCACCATCACAATCTCCTTTCAGAAGGGGTCTCTCTTAACCTCTGTAGCAGCGCTTATGCTGTGCGAATGTGTCCTTCCCCTTCCAGACTCCCGCGTCCTTTAATAGTATTTTTGCTTGTTGACGCGTCAAATGGGAGTGGATCGCACGTGACCCATAGGGCCCTGTACTCTTATAATAGAATAGAGTGACGGCGCCCAACCCAGAAGCCAAAGTTGGAAGTTAGAAGTTGAAACTCTTGGTGAATATGAGAGTGAAGAGAACTGTCCTGGCAAGTTTGTATCATTACATATTCTCCGCCTTTCCCCTGCATTGCCTCTGGCATGACTGCCAAGGTTTCGGATCTAGCTTCTAAATTCGATTTATGCACAGGGGCGCCGTCACTCTAAAATTATACCCAAGTATGTATATGCAGAGGGTAAAACCTCCTTTCACTGCGCTGTAAATTTATAATAGCAATTGTAGGCCACGGACACCTTCGTACCTACTCTCGTGTTGATCCTACAATTCCGATCCACTGGTATCAAAAGCATGTACGGTAGGTCCAAGTTAGGGCTCTATTTCCGGGACTTGGGCTGAAAAGCTTTCTGATCACGCTGATGCAAGCTATCACAACTATTGATGGACAAGATTGCCGACACAACCAAGCCATAACGGTATATCGGAGAACTGATTTTGGGTTGGGCAGTCATAACAAAACCCCCCTGTTCTAAACCCAACCCCAATACTACCAATCCCGAAAACTCCAACCACACTACCAACATAACCTGCAACCCCGACAGTGGCGAGATAGGGCGGCAAGCGGGTCTTGCGGATATTTGTACCATAATTAGGCGTGGTTTTCCTGTGAGGCGATCGCATTCGTAGCACCGGCAATTGTGCGGTACTCGGCGCCGGTGTCGTTCATTGTGGCTTGGATCCACTGGCGCTCTCTATCTCAGTTACGGCGTGCCTCTGCCGCAAGACA